GGCATAAGACTTATGAGAAAGTACGTTGGAAACATTACTGACCAAACTGATTTATCTCGCGTATCAAAAAGGGTTTTTGTCCTTTGCTATAAATTTGGAAGACCAAGGATCAAGAAACGTCATCCAGAGTTACATCTTGTTCACACTGATAATACTGGCTCGCCATCCTGTAAAGATGTCTGGAGTTATCCTATAACAACGGTGTCTTCCTTTGTACCATTACTCATTATTATTAGGAGCTGCTAACAAAACCTTAGCATTAAATTTCCACGGAGACCGATAAAATGAAAGTCAGTGTGGAAACAATATCACTACTAGTGAAATTAAAATAATTGCAACTCTACTTTAAGAGAATAAATAGTGTGGGGAAAACGGCTAACAAGAAACACCAACGCTACAAATTCAGAGGGAGATAAAAAGAAAAGATATATTTTCTCCATAGCCACTAGCTTCTTTCACGTCATCGAAACCCAGTCAATCTCCAGAAGATTTACTTCATTCAACATTAGCAAATACGTTTACATAAAAACAAGTCAGAGACAACTGACTAGATTATTAACCTTCATCACAACTAACAAGAGAACCATATCTGATAAGACATAAGTGGTGAGCTGATAGTGATTTACTACAAGACAACTACATCACTACCGTTTCTTGTTATTTGACAGCCATTTCAAATTTACAATTACAGCTCATGACTTAAAGTCCACTCATTTACACTTCAGTCGAATTGCATTATATGGTGTTGCGTTCGTTAAGTAGTCAAGACTGAACAGAGTACATTAATTTACTAAAATACAAACGAGAAAAGCTTATGAGAATAGTGGTGAAGCTTTACATTATTTGGAACCTTACTTTTTTAACCAAACCCAATTTCAACTGTCTAAGATCATTATAGACATACCTACGTTACCTAGGCAAACAGAAAACGGAGGAACAAAGGAAATCTTGAGGAAAGTCCTTAAGGGAAGTCGACGTAAATTGTCAAAGTTTTGCCTAAAATTTCCCCCACTTAGGTAGGTTGACCATTTATGTGACCAACAGTAGGTCACATAAAATTGTGCATATAAAACGATTCATGCTTGACAATTTGGAAAATACTAGACCAATTTCGTGAGTATCATAAAGGTCGTTAGACATACAAGCACATATGTAAGTGCATGAAAATGGAAAGTTTGAGGTACTTACTACCATAAAGACTCCGGTTCTCTCAGCTGCTTGAATCACGCGTCACAGGTTCAAATCACGCTCCAAAGTGTCCAATGCGGTCAGGCAGTTGTTAACAAATTCGTAAACAAAATCAAATATTCGGAACATGTAGTCATCGAGTCGTTAAAAGGCTAGGAAAACATTTTTAGACCGAAAAGCAAACTTAAAAGTTCATAGAGTATGAAGGGAGTAATGATAGACATTTTGGGAATGTCGTATTCAGCCATAAAGATTTGGTTATACGCTTTAACTAAGTCGATTTTTGAAAGGACGATCGTACCTTTCAAGGTAGCTGCGAGATCGTGAATACGCGGTAACGAGTAGTGGTCCGTAATGGTTCGTGTACTAAGTCTTCGATAATCGTCAGTTGAACGCCAATCACTGGTATTCTTTTTAGGAAACACATACAACGGAGATGTCTGTGGACTATTTGATGACCGGAATATTCCTAAATTTATCTGGAATCGAATCCGCTCCCAGTCAATTTCGGCTTTTAAAGAGCTAGACAGAGAGCTCTCGAGAATATAGATGGTCCTGTAGTCGTGATGTAATGTGTAAAATCGAAAGTCACACTCGGTAAATTCGGTTGTGGCTTCCGCAGTTTGAAATACTTATTGAGTGTTAAGAGGCTAATCTTTTGCATGATGGGCTACTTTGTGGAGTTTTAGATCGTCTGCAGTCATGCTTGAGGTGAAGTAAATGACAGAGTAGCAGAGTAAGTGTAATTTCGTCTTAGGTCAACCGAAACTTTTATTTGACGGAGCAAACCTCAATGGTGAGGGATCTAGTTATATTCAAAATCCGGTCAGCAGATGCACCTGGTTCATCTACAGCGTATTTTGGAATGGAACCTCGTGCCCTGTCGGGTAAGCTTAGATAGAAGAGGTGTCCAATGAAGCCGTCGTCGAAGGTTAGATAATTGGTCACTTCTCACTTACGTATTAACATTTATGTTGCCCAGCTGTGTCCTAGTCCAGTATTGTGGAAGCATTGATCTAACCTTTGTTGATCGATTAAGCTATGGTGAGGTTCAGAAACACTATTAGTAAACCTGAAAGGTACGACGTGCCTGTTGAACTTGTGCGGTAGAGCCTCCACCATCGCAAGGAACTTCATATATGGGTCGGTCACGCCGTGCTCGTGGAATTCAGTCTCAGCACAGCAGAGCCAGGCCTCGGTATTGCCAGGCCAGGGTAGCACAAGTTGCGAAGTGAAGGGGTAAGAGTCATAATCTTTCACAGTTAGGGTGTGAGCCCCGAAATGATAAGAATAAAATAAACGTATATATGTAAAATTTTATCACCAAGAACAGACTCACAATGTATAGCTTGGTGTATCAGATAAAGTCATGACTCATCACTAAAAATGTCACCAATATAGAGGACTTGACGATGCTCTCATCCGAAACACCTGTTTGTGGAGGACGCCAAACCCAGTTGGACTAGTGGTCAGGACTGAAGGGAGTCGACGGTATATTTGGCAGATGGTCGGTGTGTTCAGATGTATGTTATCCAAGCAAAATGACTTGTAAGGAACAAATAGGATAGAGTAACAAAACGTGATCTGATACGGATGTTGAACGAATGTGTATAAAAAGTGCGGTCAGTAAAATTAATGAGGTCAGCAACACTACCAAAGACTGACAAAATCATTTATTTTGGGGATTTATTTGCTGCTACAAATCTTCACTGTCAAAAATAGTGCATCATTTGAATTTTGTTATTTCTCGAATGTGGTTTCCCAAATGTGTTCTCAAGTGACCTGGTATTAATTGTGCTTGTACAAAGTTTCGGTCGTTGCTCATTCACTGAGATCATTATCTTCACACAGGCCGATTTGTTTGTAGACTGTGAAGTGTTTTGTAATGGCCATACAGACTTGTAGAACTATGGTCTACTATGATATTAGTACTGCTCTAATAATAGACCTAATCCTAAATTTGTAGATTCGTCATGATATAACTGCCTAATCTTTAAGATCTTACGTGGAAGTCACACCATCGACTACGCCAACTCACTGTATCGTATCAATTACCAATACATGATGAAGAACCAGCTTAGTTTAGAGAAGGAACAATATATTTAATATGAATAGAGACCACGCCTGCATGGCCGAGCCATGCCACTCGATCAACTCCAGTCCATTCAATTCATTCTTCGCGCCTTCTCCATTGTTGGGTATTTCCCCGAGTTAAATATTGAATATCTATTTTCTGAGTAGTCTCGTGTTCACAGCTTTGTGGATTGTGTGGCTATTGTCCAATGCCACTACAGACTATTCGACCTAGAGGAATAAAAGTGTAGGACATGTTAGGACCAAAGGAGCTTCTCGATTTAAGATGTGCCAATATGTGGTTGCCTCTTTTTATAATAAGATGGGAGATATATATCTGAGCATTTAAGTCGCAGGACATGTAGAAAGTTGTGACGTCCTGTTGACAACCTAACACCTGCCCCTTAGATATATTGATGCACGTTTAATTACGTATGATCCAGCTTGGATACAGTATTCTGGATGCAAGATCCATTTGTGTTCGCATGTTTGTATGAACTTATATGTGTGTGAAAACCCCTCCACGTATACATTCCCTGTGGAAGTATCCATCCGTTCCCTTCAAATGTAATGCAACTTCTAATAAACCTAGTACTCACGCATATTATACTCGTCATTTTGTTTGTATTTACTATACTATACTGTCTACAAGTGCTAAATTGTTATGAAATCCGTGATGTCTTTTATGACTTTGTTTTGACTAACGTTATATTTGAGCTGCTGTTATATCGGATGAGTATTCCTGATTGATCTTACTTGATTCACATGAGTGGATCTACACCTGAACGGTAAAAACTTTATTTCCTGTCCGTTAGGAAATTTTGATGTTATGAACAAGGAGATAAATATATAATCGTTGCATCCTTATGTTTAGCTGATCTCTTCTGGAACCCTGTTAACAGTCATATCTTTTAGGCAGAACATTGGCCCCCGATCCCAAGGAATACTATTTGTTTGGAAATTGATTTTACAAGGTGCCGTTGTTTCTCGTCAATACACGTTAGAGGAATTATTGTCCAGGGATTTATTTTGGTGCATATATTTACTAGCACCATATCTACACTGTTTATACATTTCAGTTCCGTGGAACCCTATGACCTGTTTGAATGGAGGTGCGTAACTAAACGATGTCGTAGGTACAGATCCACTAAAATTCTTAAGAACCTATATTTAACACTTGAGGGATTCGAAAGATATGATAAGAGAAACCAGTCATTTTGCGATATTATGCCAACTCGGGAAAAAAGCCTACCTTTCAAGTATATTCCTAGTGTTTCGTGTATGAAAAAATCTATGCAGGTGAGAGATGGATGTGTTAGAATAGTATTGCAAGTAAATTATCCATCTGACCATGATCATACCTACATACCGCTGGTTGGGTAAGTGACACCATGCACAATCAATAAGCTAACGCTTCGATTCATGTTCAATACAACTCTCTACTCATTCTAAGTCTTCTATACCTGCGAAATCGACCGAGTCAGACGATGAAACGCGATTGACTAGATTTAACTAAACCATAACAAATACTCCATAAAGCAGTAATTTATCACTTCAACAGCTTGGTTATACTACCTAAAAGATAAAAATGGTTTAGACGGAGTATATCATAGAAGACTTTGGGCACGCCAATCAGAAGTATAGCCCCATTGCTAACTGATTTCGACCGCTTAACATTGAAACAATCATAAGGGAAAAACTATGCATAGAAATAACGTGATTGAAAAAAGAACCAAGAGTAGTAGTCCCGGTTAACTGTAATTAGTACAAAACATTTTGTATAACCAAAAGAAATATCCAATACTTATAATGAAATCAAATCATAAAATACAAAAAAAATACATAGAATTCATGATTTAGAAAATGAAACATGTAATCAAAAACGAAACATAATTGAATACTTATCGTTAAAATAAGATATAAATTAAACTGTTTTAACTCCATGAGGAAGTTCAGCTGTTGGTGTACGAAAATACTTAACTGAATTTATAAAGAACATATGAATCAGGCGTAATGAATCATGTAGGACACATAGAAACAAAGTAAAAAGTTTAATTGAAAATCATTTATGATAAAATATGAGAAATGAAACAAAATTATGAAGTTCATATTTATAATCAAGTAATAACTGGCTCCAATGATGTACGGCTTACAGTTCCATCATCAATTTTGCTTACAAGATTTCTCGATCGTCTATTTACACCAGATTCATTTAGTAATCCTGTACCAAAACGATGATCCCATATAAGTAGACCAAATGTAGCAGTGATAGCGATACTGAGACAGAAGACGAAAAACACTTCAAGGAACAAATAACCCTGCAATATGTGATAGAGGAAAAAACACAAGTGTAACTAGGTATTTTTACATTAAGAGCATAGAAAATAATATTTCTTCATCGTTACTACAACAGACTTTTTCATTTGACTAACAAACATGACTTGATAGTTTTCCGCAATCTTATCATGCTAGCTATAGCAAAGATGGATAGTGGCTAGCACTGGAATCCAGGACGCGCGTCCCGTCCAATTTCGAGACTCATCAGCTGGATGTACTTGCATCTCAGAGTTGATGTTCACTCTGGGACTCGAACTCAGTACCGTTCGCTCCAAACGCGATCGCGTTATCCACTTAGCTACTGATTCTTGATAGCCACTTGCTAGCTATAATTTTCTCCCTCTAGTACACTGTATTGGATATTTTATTATTAGAATTTAGATACAAGTGTGTCCTTTTTTAATATTCGCCATAAAATTTCAGTTAAGTACATATTGCCTGCATAATGAACACGTGAATTGTGCTATGAACTTTACTAGTTATGAACACAACTATACAAGTGATCAATCGAAATTTATATAAGACACATACTGTTTAACTAAGTTTGCTGATCTGTTTTTATTTACCTTATAATTGATAAGATTTGTAATTTTCACAATGTGATCCAAAAAAATGCGTGAAATGAAGTTGTCGAAACTTTAATTCACATCAATCACCAGGTGAAATAAGCTTGCCTATGGAAGTTGTTTTTGTTCCCAAAATATAAAACTGTCCCATGAATATATAACACACAGTGTTGATGTGGAGACGATAAAATGTTAGATAATGATCAAAACTATGATTTTAAAATCCCAAAATTTCTAGAAAATATTTCGAATATCGAGAACAGAAACCGTAAAATGAAGAGTATTTTTAAAGTCCATAAAGATTGATGTATTCTAGATTTTGTAAAATTACGTTTTTTTTTTCAAAAATCACAGTTAGGGTTAGGTTATTGATATTGCCAAGAGACTATACGAAGACGCCAAATGCCCTGGTACGGCTGACAATGAGGAGAGTCAGCTCTCCCTCTTCAAATGCTCTCACATGGTCACGTGCATACAACCACTGACAAGGAAATCGAACTCACTACTTTTTCGTCACGTGGGTGTTGTTTACAAAATTAAGAAGACAAAAAGTGAATGTACAGAAATTTATTCGGGTTAGTGGATACGGAGGGTTCACCTAGAGGAGTTGGAAAACCCTCATTCTAAACCAATCGTACACATGGGCCCCAGTATCTTGAGGGAACAAATGGTGTATGAACCTATTGCTGGTCACCAGCTATCGTGAGACTGCATCTCGTGACTTTGCTCCATCGCCTTGTAGATTAGACCTTTAGGTCAAAGGCTTCGGGTGTGGCTCCCTAAGAAAACCACCTGCTTCGGTCTGGGCAACTGGGCAGTATCCCAGCCCTCACATAAATCGAGTGATTTATGTGGCGCATATGTATTTGATGCCTCTTTGTACCAATATCTATGTGTTGAAATAAATAAATAAATAAATAATAAATCGGATACATAAATCAATCAATCAATGAAAATAAACCACTTGAGTTCTGAAATAAATAAATAAAATTACCAGTTCACTATTGATAGTGTAAATTATGATAATACATTTTAACAAATTGATTATAATAATGATAAAAATCCTATGAACTTTGAATGTTTTGAAACAAAATGAACCGATGTAAACATGAATAGAATGACCATTGGAATAGGTGAAGTACAAAATACAAATCAATTTTTAATAATTAGTTTAGTTGTATATGAAATATTTCTCTCTCTCTCAAAATAAGAAGAAAACACGCAGTGAATTGATTCACTAGGAACAGGGTGGATCTCTTGAATGTATAAACTTTAAAAGCACACAGGACGATAGAATTGTTCTCGGGTTATTAAATAGTTGTGATCTGGTATTGTATGATAGGAAAGAGTGAAGAAGTATGATTACTCTTCCATGTTTTCTTCAGAAACAGCAGTCAGGATTGGCTAAAGTACTGGAAGCTCTCAATTATTCTGTTATGTCCCGATAAGCATAATGAATGGTAACTTTTCGGATGCATTTATGGACCAATATTATGCGTATATTTTTATAGTATAATTGTTATGTAACTTAAACTATACATATTCGTGTCCCACTTATTATGAGCTTTATTTTGACATATGAACTATTATTATACGATTTACCATTCTTGAATTATGCCCTGTCTGTTAATTACTATCTCCCTCATTCACAGCCACATTTCGCTAAATCTCGTACAAATGTTAATTTCCATTTCACGGTACGATGTGGTCTGTCTGGTTGGCATATAAATAGAGTATGCTTGAAATATATGGTTCATATTGCAGAGGCTGAGATTAGTGTTCTGGATTTAACTGGCTGGGATAGGCGGGAGGCAGAACCAATAAAGACTCTACACTGCTTGTACCGGTTTATGCGTCATTGGACCGATCGATAATTCACTGCTTTCTAATTAACGGTATCATTACATTATCCATGAACAGGGCACACAGGTCACAAGTTATAACAAATTCAGAGGGGAGGTTCTCAAAAGGTGGAGAAAGGGTGAAAATATTTCGTTCAACCAGTATTCAATAGAAACTTCCCATAGAGATATAAAAAAACAATGGACTGTCATTTTCGTATTAAATAATTACCGACTTTAAAAAATAATTTTAGCAAGTTTCCAACATCTAGAATATTAACATTACATATAAACCTACAAATATCGATGTTCTCAGTACATAAACTAACCATGAAAGAAAATTATTCTTTAAACTTCTCACCTTTTGTTCGTTCCTTAATTGTAGGAAATTTGTAGGGAATAGATTACAAAGTCAGGGTTACGCGTTCAGCTACAAATCATATCAAACCACTTCCCTATAAGCCATACGTGAAGAAAATACATCATGCCGAGTGATTCAAACCTCGGTCAGTCAGCTACAACATAGGACCAGGCACATATATGCATCGGTCCAAGTTGCCATACCGCATTAGCACAGCAAGATGAACATCGGATTCATAGGAGTGGTTAAGTAAATGGTGGTAATATATAAAAGAAAGATTGCATATAAGGATATAGTACAGGAAGAAAGAATTAGTTCGTAGAAAGAAAGATATGAAGCGATTTTAATCTTATAGTTTAGAGGAAGACAGAGACTGCATACACCAACAACATTGTGATCGATTCTGAACCATGTCACCCAAAGTCTCCAACCATTGGTTACGATAGTCATACGGACCCCCAACCAAGTAGTATGCATCTACCAACATGATTCAGACTAGAAGTTAGTGACTTAAACCACTGATGCCACGTTTTGGTTTGGCCGCTCCTAACTTTCTTCCAACCATCCCCTACACCAGTTAGCATTGCACGTCGTGGTGATCGGTGTTCAGGCATACGTAACACGTGGCTCAACTATCTCAGTCGATGAAGATTCACAACCACATCGACTGACTTACCATCATTCCCTAATACCCTGCGTCTAACCCCACTACTACTTACCCGGTGATCCCAGAAGATGCCAGAAATATTTCTAAGGTGTATGTGGTCAAATACTAGTAGCTTACGAGTATCTTCTACTCTTAATGGCCATGTTTCGCTGCCGTAAAGTAAAACAGAACGAACTGTCGCGCAGTATACTCGTCCTTTTATTGATAGACGGATATCTCGCCTTCACCATAGGTGACGTAAGTCGGCAAAAGCCAAACGAGCTTTTCGAATCCGTGCTGAGATTTCGTCAGACACTAACCCATTAGGGCTGATCAGACTTCCAAGATAAGTGAAGTTGTCAACGCGTTCGACTACTTCACTCCCTATCCTTAGTTCAGGTGTTGACGCAGACCAGTCCTGAAGCAACAACTTGCATTTAGAGGGAGAGAAGCGCATTCCAAACATTCTGGCATTGTTGCTTAGTTCTACCAAAAGACTGCATTTTATCAGCGTCGTCACCAAACAGGACTATGTCATCTGCGAATTATAATTCGATAGGTGGACCTCCTAGAAGTAGATCAATGCCCGAAAATTCAGTCGACGAGAAAGTTATTTCCATCAGTAGGTCTATTATGAAGTTAAACAAAAATGGAGAAAGTGGACAGCCTTGACAGACACTACTTGAGGTTGCAAAAGTAGATGACAGTTCGCCATAAGCTCTGACTCGACTAGTAGTGTTCTAGTAAAGAGCCTTTACAATGTTTATGTACTTTGAGGTACGCATGGGATTAATTGATTATCATATTAATCCTTTCATAATTAAGCCACCATTCTACAATTGAAAGTGTAAACCTACATTCTAGGTAATTCATAATAATAATAATAGTAAGAAAGCATAAACTCACTTTTGTATCAACTAAATATCCGGCAAATATGGAAATTAATCCAAGTCCTAAATTTTGAATTGACGAAATTAAACCATAAGCTGTGGCTCTTTGATGCAATGGCAATACAAAAGCAACCATTGGCCATAAACTACTAGCCAGAACAGAATAAGACAAACCCATTACAATCATGATAGCTAGTGGGGGAATTTGACCACTAGTAAAAGCAAAGCATAAATGACAGCCCAATGTAATTAATATTCCACTGAATAACCAATATAAATTATATCCGATAATATCAATTGCTGCTCCAAATACAGGACTTGCCACAGCGGATATAATGTAGATAAGACTGTTAACAACACTAGCATCTTGAACAGATAAACCAAATTTCCCTATATGTTTGTAAATATGAAAACATAGGGATTTAGAGACAGAGAGAGAAAAAAGAAATCAGAGAAGAGGTTAGTTACAGAGTTGTGATTTTTAATGAAGAAAAACAATCAGTATTAAAGTAGTTATTTCATGTTATGAATAAAATTTCTGATGTAACCGAATAACAAAATAAATAAGTATTAATTTCGCCTAATTTAATTGCGTTGAAAATAAGGCTGTCTCATAAACAATACACAAAGGATAGTAATTGCTGCTACACACTCTACCAGTCAGTCAATAATGCATGGCCCCCGAATGCTCTGGTACGGTTGAGAGTGAGGAGAGTCAGCACTCCCTTCTCGTTACGTGAGTGTTGTTTACAAAATTGAGAAGACAAAAAGAGAATGTACAGAGATTTATTCGGGTTGGTGGATACGGAGAATTCACCTAGAGGAGTTGGAAAACCCTCATTCCAAACCAATCGTGCACATGAGCTCCAGTATCCTGAGGGAACAAATCGTGTATGAACCTATTGCTGATCACCGGCTATCGTGGGACCGCATCTCGTGACTTTGTTCCATCGCCTTGTAGATTAGACCTTTAGGTCAAAGGCTTCGGGTGTGGTTCCCTAAGAAGATCACCTGTTTCGGTTTGGGCACCCGGGCAGTATCCCAGCCCTCACATAAATCAAGTGATTTATGTGGCGCATATCTATTTGGTGCATCCTTGTACCAATGTTTATGTGTTTAAATAACAAATAATAATAATGCAATAATGCATGAGTATTAAAGGGTCTGGTATAATTATGTATCTGTCTAAAATGGTACGACATATTAGCATAACAAAAGAGGAAATCATTAAGAAAAGTCGAATCATTGTAAATAAATAAATGTAATAGTAATCTCTATGATATGGAGAGAAAAAGAGAAACAATGAAGAGAACAGTTCTAAAGTTACACATCACTATACATAATTAAATACATTAAGAGAACATGAGAACTTTAAGTACAAAGTATAAAATGATACAGTTAAATAGAATGAGAGCATTAATTTCATGAAGGTTTATTTGGAGTGATGTGCAACGAATCTGTCTATTTACTTATAGAATTAGAAGCAACAGTTAGAAAGTTCATGAATTTGTATAACTTCTTCATTTTAGACATTTTCAGATTACTCCTAAGTCTCACATTGACGTTGATTGAAACACCAGCAGCTGACTTACTCCCATTGACTACTACACACTTAACATCACATCTAGTTGTTATTAGCAGGGAAAGAAAAGCAAACTACAAGTAATCAGTTGGTACAAACATTAATTAGATGAATGACAATTCAGTAAGTCATAACCAACATAGAGCATGGCACAAATATGTATCATCCAAGTTTCCGATGACAATGAGAAACGTTAAACAAAACGAATACTGTTCGAAAAGAGGTGAATATGAAGAATAAAAAGTATGAAATAATACTGGGGTATACGACTTAAAAGAAAATGTAATGAATTCATCTGTGCCATTGTGACCAATTCTGACCATATCACACAACATTTCAAACCACTGACAGTGGTTATTTAATGAGGATCTGCTTAATATAGTCCATCTGAATAAATACCCACAAATTGAATCATATAAGACTTTCATATCAACTGTTTACAAATTGCAATTAACGAGGCGATAGATTATTTTATCAACTTATATTTGAAAGATACATATCACTAACCATGAAACGTAGGATCTACGACATTAAAATGTCAGAAACTAAAGTGATATACTACCGGATAATAATAGAAGTACACAAATGAGTAAGTTTTGATTTTAATGAAGAAAAAGATGAGAATCAACGGTATCAATTTAAAAATAACTTACTTTCAAAAAATACTAGTCCTAAACTAACAAATGGAAATACTGTTACATAATATGTCACACAAATGATACAAATAAGCCAAATAGCGCCTGGAAAATGAATAACATCCATAGGAGAGATCTTTTTGTTTTGATCTTCTATTTTCTTCGTGAGTAATTGTTCTTCTTCATGATTAGATATTTCAAGTGTATTGGATTCAATAGGTTGGGTATTCAGTGAATGCGGTTTTTCACAAGATGACAGAATACGTTTAGCTCTAAAAAGGTTTTAAAAAAAACGAAAGTTGAGTGAACTGATAAACTGTATGTCTTGACAGTAGTGTAAAACATTTTAAAGTCAATGTAAAAGATAATGCGTTTTAAGAACCTCATGCAGTCATATGCAACTTAAAACCTGATGAACATATGTGCAACGGTTTAAGTTATCATGTCACATTAGTATTATTTCAAGATAAAACCCAAAATAGTAACAGAAGTACAAATAGCATCAGTTGTAGGAAAGATCAGGTATAAAAAAGTAAAATGTATAAGTGGGTTTCGAGACTCAAATTCCAAAGGAAGTTTACGAGTGAATGCACCTGAACCATTATAAGTGATTCTGAGCCATATTAACCAGTCTCTAAACGTTGATTACGGTGATCACAAGGACCCAAACCAGCTAGTCTACACCTACTAACATTAGTTGAATCCGGTTGTCAGTAAGTTCATGAACTGGTGTTACGTCCTGGTTTGGCTGTCTTTAGCTTTCTCCTAATCTACTCCTATACCAGACATCGCCCGTCGAAGTAGGTGGTGGTTGAAGGCATGTAACAAATGTGCCAGCCAACTCGATTGATGAAGATTTACTACCTACTCAACCGATTTGTCATCTTTACGTAGTACCCTATGCCTAACCTCAGCGCTGCTCAAATTTAGGATAATAGTTACTCTTTTTTAGTGAAATAATGGTTGAAGGAAGAGGGTAGCACAAAAACACCTTGGGGTGGTTATGGCCAAAGTCTGTAGAACTTCAACTGATTATAATTTTACATCACTTACTGACTTAATTCAGAGAAACAGTGAAGACTAGAAAAACAGTGGACAGTTTCTTCGTCCTAGTATGGGGCTCGCTATAAGCTGCACCCACGACCCCACCAAGGATCGAAACCAAAACCTCTAGAGACTTCGATAAGTGCTTAAAAACTAGATCAGAGATTTGCCACCGAATAGTCTACAAGTATAACTTCAGTCTATTTGCAACATTGCTAGACAATCACTCATTATCATTGGTGACACTTGATATGGTGGAAACTCCATTGGTCACAACTCCTTACTAGAACTCTGGGATTACCCCCCCCAAAAAAAACTTAGCCACTAGCAAGCATATGATGACTTATTAGTTAAAACTACATCTTAAATTCCATGTCTAGAGAGCGGAGGGTCCTTGTAATGGTAAAGGCTTGTGACTAGAAAGCTTGAAAAACTAACCTCAACATACAATGGATTAGCTTTACAGCTGATGAAAAAGTCTTTATATTAACATTTTATTGATCTCTTTTGACAAAAAAATCCAATAAACCAAGGAAATGTAGATAATTTTACGAATAGCTGATAAAGTAGTTATTTGTTTACTTATTCAAGAACTAACATATACCACTATTTTTGTCATAAAATCACCCCGTTCCCATTTGAAATGCGAAAACTAAAAGGTAGACTTGTGACAAAAAACACTATTTCTAACTATTCACAAGTTTATTTCTGATAGTAAACTCAATACTTGTAAATCCATGCATTGGAAGACTCGATAATTAGGTGGACAAAAGTGCATAGCTACGTTATTACATGTCTTTTCTCAACCAAAGTTAATATTCATCATATCATGATTAACCACATGGGACAGGATGTATGTATAGTGATTTACACTCCTGATCAAAATATTATTATCAACTGTAAGATTTTATATCATGAACATAACTCGTTAAATAGGTACGAATTTATGCACTTGTCTTTTAAACCTACTGTTTCTCCTAGGTTTTAAATTGAAATAAGTGAAACAGAGTTCAAACCTGCGATCTACTGGTTGAATGTTGATTGTTTCAACCACCAAGCCACTACCCAACATCATGTTAAATAATACCCTCAAATAACATACTTGTAACATAAAGCACAGACAAATAAAAGAGTTCATGAATTTCTAAACGAAAATTAGTACTCTAATTACAAATTATAGCGTAAATACGTTATATAACATACCTCTTTGTAAAAAACAACATAATTACAGCACAGATAGTAGAAAATAAACAGGTAACAGAAGCAGTCAATAAAGATGCACCCAATTGTTTATTAGTGTGTATATTGAAGTGTTTGCCAACAGCTCGATTCAGCGGTTGCATTGTTACCATGTTCACTGTCGATCCAATACGTGACATGCTAAGTTGAAGTCCAAATACTAGATTTAACTCATTCGGTGGAAACCATTCAGTTGAATAAGTATTCTGTGCTACAGCGAGTGATTCACCACCGATTCCAAATATCAATCGGGAAAAATACATTGCAGGAATACTTTTAAAATAAGCTCCTATACCGAATATTATTTGCCCAATAAGTACAAACATTGAAAAAATAATGCTTCCCCATGGGATACCAAATACTCTATCGATAAGAAAACCACCTACAAAACTTAGAATTACATTTGGCCATGAGTAAAATGCGTACAAATTCATGAATTCAACCTTTGTCATGTCTAGAGAGCTTAGGAAGACATCTTGAAGTGCTGAAGGATTATCATAGCAAAAATAGCTTCCAAAAGAAAGGAAACAAATGAAGAACAATACAATATAGCGATGAGGACGTCTTCTTGGATCACATGCCCAACTAGCTCCACAGCCTTATGGAACAAATAAAATGGAAATATTATTTACCTGTGAGATTTATATCTCTATTTATGACTTCTTCGTCCTCCATTGATAAAATTTCAATTACCAAAGATGGGATAGAAGCAACAGGTGAAAGTTAGTATCTATGCAGCAGATCAGTCTAAAAAATGCCAAGTTATCAACCATAAGCCACTTAAGGATCATATAGCTTATAAATGACAGAAAATAGCCCACCAAAAGACAGACCTAAATATATTTACAAACATAATAAAGCGCACACCAAGGGAAAACTAAAATAAATCCCAATTATATGAAAATGATCAATCTTTTTTCATAAAAACCATTATCTATCTTACATACCAGTTTTGGCTATTTTAAGTCTCATACTGCAACTGATAGTTTATTCGGGGCCCTGGATTAAACTACTACTCAATATGAAAACCACTGAATGTACATGCTTGATCCACCAACATCGACAGCGCTAAACAAATTCTCTTAGGATCAGCCTTTCTTATACACAAACACGAAGTTTGTATTCGGTATTATATAGTCTTATTTAAGAATACTAAGACTACGAACCTTTCATTAAAACATGTGTCGGGATAACGATTTATTGATTAAAACGCCATTAAGTTGTAGTTTCAAGTCCCACTTTATATATCTTTATTTGAACACCTGTGTAGCATAACTACCAGGAGAGTCCTTAATGCTTTTTCATGACGTGGGTGTTGTTTACGAAATTGAGAGGATGAAAAGCGAATGTCTAGTGCATAAACCGGGTTGGTGGATACTGAGGATCCCTCAGGGGAGTTGAAAATCCTTCATTTCAAACCAATGGTGCACATGGGCTCCAGGATTCTGATAGAACAAATGGCGTATGAACCAATTGTTGGTCACCAGCTTCCATAGAACTGCATCTCCTGACGTTGTTCTACTACCTCTATATTAAAGGCTCCGGGTGTTACCTCCTAAGAAAACCACCTGTTTCGGTTCGGGCACCCGGGCAGTATCCCAGCCCTCACACGAATCGAATGATTTGTGGCTCACATGTATTTGGTGCCTCCTTGTGCCAAAGTTTACATGTTTCAATCAATAAAATAAAGCTGTGTAAAAGACGTATCCCGAATTGAATTGTCTGAGGAGTCGGAGAGATTGTCACAATCAACGTGATACTTAAATTAATTAGTCCATTTTTACAGATTTTGATAGTTTGGTGAAATGAATTCGGTTTCAAAAATGTGATGGAACTGACCTATACATTTTGAACAATCTGACCACACACATACTTATCAAGATTTTCATGGGTGTCTGATTTCCTCTCGAATGAGTGGACTGGAGTTCCAGATAACAATTATTTTGGCAGTAAGTCTCAAGAGTTGACTGCTCTGCGAGAAAACCTGTATTCTTCTGCCCTTGGCTTTCATACTCCTGATATGTCCTGATTAGGAAGTGTGATTTGTAAACAAGATGAACAGGCGTGTACTCGTATTCCATTGTATGGTTTCTTTTTGTGTCTGGGCGTTTAACTGAAATACATGAACCATGCTAAGACAATTTAAGAGAATGCCAGAGATTAAGAGTGGTAAAATTAGTGTCGTATAGGTGCATAAGTCGACACACCCAAAGTAAGAAAAACAAGTAGTTTTTGGTAATGTCATTAAAATTCTGTGCTTTTGTGCGTTAAAATAACATCCCGAAGTTGAAAATATGTGGATTCTGTGTGTAGGCATCAAGATATTTCGTAGAACACAAGATCAACGCATGAACAAATGCAATAGGTCTCCCAAATCACCTCGACGTTGGGGAATGTTGAACAAAAACCTATCACAGAACAAAACCCATATAAACTAATAACTTGTAAGTTAACCACCTGGAAAGTCAATCTACACATGACTGTTCACAAAAATAATATCTTGATTATGAACTGTTTAAATCCTAAGGTATAGTCATCTACTAGTAGTGATAAACTGAGAGCTCTCGGTTTCTTATCGCAATATTATCAATTATATGGTATCGTGAATGCTTTAATGTAAGATATATTATCACATATTGTTTGAACAACGGGATGCTCTTCAGATTTATTTTAACAACGTAAACCTACTCGCACCCAAGTTGCGAACTGAACTACAATTTGGCGGACATATTTGGAGCCGTTACTATGGTCTCCAATATCCAATATCTTTTTGACGAGCTTGTCTAGAGGGATTGATCTCATTGTCGCGCTTCTTGATGTTTCACTACGAATCGTTGTCATTGATGACCTGGCCACTCGAATGGACTGATTCTAGCCACTTTGGTAGTTAATTGTGGATTTGTATATCTCTTAGTTTGAGTGCGTTTATCCCGAGACATTAGGGTTTCTGGATACCAGTGTCCATCATATTACCAGGAAATAAGTTGTTTTGTTGCAACATAAAACAAATAATTAAAAATCCGGATATAAGAGGAGACGATTGTCTCAAGAATAAATAAATAATTTACTGAATTGACAATGTATCAGATGACGGAATTGAAAGAATAAGAGGGGAAACGGTGGTGATGATAATAAAAGAGAAAGGAAGTTGTCGCTACTATGTGGTAATTATAACTGTGTTAATACATGAGGCACTCATCAAACACAGCTGGTCCTAGAGGTATATGATGATTCATGTGTGAGTACATTATTGTCAAGTCTCCTTTTAAAGCTATCCACTGAAGGAACTGTGGTCACGTTATCTGGGAGAGAATAATCTTTCAACCCTATCGTCCACTTAGTTTCCTGTCTCGAACCTTTATCCAAGAGATATATACCTCTTTTAAAGAGAGGGGGACAACGACATTACTGACTTCAAGATGGGGCCGCGCGTAGTAACATAATGTAGTATTAATAAACTATGTACTTAGGCACACACCATAGAGTAACTTTTCATACTGATTGATAAAAGAAACAAAATATATGTGCAGAGTTTAGATTTATATGTTTAAGTACAAATGAGATGGTTAGCGGAATAAAGTGTAATTGATTCTTTCTACCGTTCCTACCGATGATGAGGTATTTTTTGATCGTTTTATGATCTATCAGGGTTCTTTGTATGATGTGTTAATAGCTTATTTACAGCATCGATGGATATTTAGATGAATCTGAATGTGTTTATATATCTGTTGGTCTGTTCATGATGTGAATTAGCTCTGGGAGGTATTGGTTTGGGTTGCCGTTTAAACTGCAATAATCTGCTTACAAAGCTCTCTGCATCCATCCGCATTTTGTCATCGCAATTAAATAGGTATCTTGGTAGAATTAGAGTTGTTCCTTAAACTAATTTAACTATTGTACAACCGACACCCTCTTTGATAGTTGTTTGGATTCATAGAAAAATAAGAGGTAAGGTGTTACTCTGCTTCACTGATTTGAGTAGTGACATGAGTGGGATCTTCCTCTGAAAGTGAGAATTTTCACTCGTCTTTTAGCTGTGAAATGGTAGGCTGTTGTTTTGATGTGGTGTTCTCCTAACGGTTAGGTGGATTTATTGAACAAAACTGAGGGCTAAGATTTTTGGTAATGATCAGATGGATACGGTAGTTTACGATTCAAATGTCGGGGAATATTGAAGCTGATGATGACACAGGTATTCAATGTTTGACAACGCTTCTACCAGTAACACCTTCTAATATATTTCGTTCCCGCCCAGAGAAATCAGAAGACAGAGTCGAGGAGATCGGAAGAGTATATTTGGCGATGACCAATATATCGGAATTCTCTGATCTAATCTGGCTAGCGATTGCGGTTGATGTTGAGCACGGCGTTACCACACGTGATCTGGTGCGGATGCCTGACCGAGCGCCTTCAGCTAGATGAGTCCACTAAAACATATGGTCAGCATCCAATGTCGAAAACTTAGAGCTATTTATTTTGGGGATTTATTTACCGCTACAAAGCAGTTGATTCTGAAAGTGCATCACCTGTATCATATTATGGGTGAAGATTCTATTTACAGAAGTAAATACGCGTGTAAAAGGGTTGGAAGGTGACAGAGGCTTGACGATTACTACATACACGTGTTGAAAACATTTATCACGTGCTGGACGTTTACCCAATGCACCAAGGGTATATTGAGGAACTTTCTTGCATTGGAACTCCGTCGAAGTTCGTGCCCATCTTCCTACATCTGCGATCAAACGTGGATATACAAACGTCCGGATATTATTTTAACTATCGCTCAGATTCCTGAGTGTAAAAATTAGTGACGATGTTGAGCTACACTTTCTCGACAAACTTTCGGAACAAGAGGACGTTTATGGTCTGTTGAAACGTCAAAGGTGATGGAAGAATCAGACAAAGGGACTGGAACAGGCTAAATTGTCAGTTTACAATTTTCTTAGCAGTCCTTTACATGTCTATCATTTACCCGTAGTTCTTTCATGACTACAAAATCAATGTCTGTCTTACGAACTGAGGTTCTGATTTCTATTCTGGGTTATGCACTTGCTACAACATTCTAGTTTCTACTGACTATTTGGATATCAGTAGTAAATTGTGAAATGTAGTTCAGCTGCCAAGCCCTTCGAAATGAATGAATCTTAGGATATGCTGAATGACTGGCACAGAGGTTTATGATCGATCATTGTATTGAACTCACGTCCATATAATATTAAACTGAACTTCTTGGCTGCTAAATGCATCGTTATTAATTCACGCCAAAAAATGCTGTAGCGTGTTTGAGCAAGCGACAGGCAGTGAGAAAGTAAAACAAGGGACATAATGGTGTTCTTGATTTTCAGAACTGCTCCCGCTACAGTTTGAGGCATCAGTGTGTAAAATGACCTGAAATGTGGGGTTGTAGTTTATGTTTGATGGTATAGAAGCATTAGGTAGCATTGTTGTAGCACTTTGAAACGCCTTTGTTGAGTCAGACGGAGGGTTTAAGTATTATCTCTCCCTTGACCAATGCATATTATTAGAGCTTGTCCTCATCAGATCCATTAATGTGGGCACGCTCTAGCTAAAAATCATGGAAGAAATCGCACGCGCCTAAAACTCTTTAACTTTCCGAGTGAATCAGGTTCAGGGTAGCTAAGAGTTTCATCAACGTTCTGTTGTGATGAAACTTTATGGTGCAGTGAAAATCCAAAGCAGGAACACCCAGTATAAGCCATGATAAGTTGATAAAAATGTATAAGTTTGTAAATGGTGAGATAAGATGTGTGTCGTTCCTCTGTAGTGTTATTGGTCCTCAATCACACGATCTTCGAAGCCGGACATAGAATTACTGGGAAGAGTCACTTTCAACATTTAACACTAAGAGAGGGTTAAGGGTGGTGAACGTGGGAAGAATCATTCGAGATGGCATGGCTCAGCTTTGTAGTCGTGGACATTTTTGTGCAACTAACCTCCTTTGTTCATGTCAAGTATATTGTCCTATATCCAACCCAGATGTGTTCTTCAGAAGCGCTAGTCATCATATTGCTGATGGTCTTGACAGTTAGAGTCAGTTTAGGCAGTGATGGAACCTCCACGTAAAACATATAGATTAGGTAGTCACATGAAAAATCTACAATTTTAGGATTGCGTCTATTATCAGAGTGGAACTAGTGATGATATAAACCATAGTTCTACACCATTTAAAAGGGGCTGTCAACCAGAACATCAATATATACGTAAATGAAATCCTTCTGTTTCTTAATCACATTCATAAATCGTTGAAATGTTATTAAATACAAATGACAGCCTTAAGAATTCGGACACGCCGAAAGATTTTATGGAGGTAGTTTTTTCTAGATCTTCAGGTGTCCCCGGAATGCGATTGTAGGCTTGTAGTATTATGGTCTACTTCGTTATTAGTACTGCTCTAGTAATAGACCTAATCCTAGAATTGCAGGTTTATCATTGATGTGACTACGTAATCTATAAAATCTCACGTGGAGGTCACATCATTATGTACCCTGGCTCATCGTATTGTAACAATTACCAATAAATGATGGGGACCTCATTCAGACTGGAGATAGGACAATATATTTATTATGAGTAGAAACAAGTTGTACAGAGCGAGGCTAAGCTGTACCACCCGATTGGATTCAACTGAATTCCTTCTTCCTGCCTTCTCGTTCGTTCGGTTTTTCTCCGCGTTAAATGTTGAACACCTATTTTCCCAGTTGACTCGTGCTCAGTTTTGAGGATTGTGTGGTTAGAGCCCAAAGCCACTACAAGCTCTTAAGAAGTGGAATTTGGATAAAACTGCTTTCATTTAATGTCGACGAAAAGTCCTGCAGGTGAGGGATTAGGTATCTGTTCAGTATTGTCTGTTTGTCCAAACGTCGATAATTCCTACACGGGCGGCAGTCATGACCTTCTCTATGGGTATCACATGTAATGAAGAGGCTCACGGACTATCTGGAGGTGCCTAATTACATTGTGCGTCCAAAGTCTTTTCCTGATCAACAGTACGCTATGAAGCTCAGTCCCAAGTCCGAATTCCCTATGATGATGTTGACCACAGATAGTATATAGTTATGCATGAAGAAGAGTCCAAAGATATATTCTAAGTGAAGACTAGTGTCGAAAATGGTTACCTACCCCCTTCTTTCTTCTCTTTTCTAGCTAATGACTGCATTATGAAGACCTCCACGTCTCAAGAAAAGCACGGGATATATTAGACACCATGGACTTATATGGATTGAAGATTGCTAGGATGGTATAGTTGTTCAGTAATTTATGGTTTTTGAAGGTTTTATAAGTAAAATCAACGCATAATTCATAATACAATTCGAAGAATTTTCAAAAGCCTCCTATGTAGTTGATAAGCCTATATTTATCATAGTGGAAATAGTGAACCGTTGAGTTCAGGCATATCGGGTGTAGGATAAGTATCACACATGGCAATAGTAGATGATCTCGCAGCACTGTGAATTAACTGATGTTGGAAATACAAACTATTACGTGCCAACTCTGTGGTTTCAATACGATACTTAAAATTTCTAAATTTAATCGTTGGTGGGATCGTCACTAACTACCTAGTGATCTTTAGTTTTTATCAATTCCAGGACTGATATCGATCTATGAAGAAAACCACTCAGAAGCTTTTCCTTAAAATGCGAATATAACGTGAACTTATCCTAATCTAAACAGTTCCTGATGTAACTGGATAGACCGAAGAAATTGATTGATTAATTTCAAACAGCTTTTGGTTTCCACCATAACATTAACGTCTATGTTTGTATGTAGTTATGAACATTTTCGATAGGTTTAGTTCAGTTCACTGAAGTAAATATTTTCACT